TTGTTTTAACTTGCGACCTGAGTGCCCTGTTAAGGTGTAACGTAATGATACTCCCAATTAGAGAGCAGTGAATTATCGATCGGACCAGTGACGCATAAACCACGTACGAGCAGTCTAGAGTCCCTATTGGTCCTGCTTTCAGCCTAGCCCAGCCAGTTAAGTCCAGAACACTAATCTCAGTCTCTGCGATATGAATCGTTTATTTCTAACATACGGGGTTTATATACCAATCAAACAGACCACATCGTACCAATAAAATAGAAAAAAACATTTGTACAAAATTTGTCCAAATATGGCTGTGAACGTGGGAGGTAATATTTAAAAGAAAAGGCGCAATTCAAGAATGAAGAAAACGTATAACAATGATTCATTTTACTTACTTACGCCTGTTACTCCTAATGGAGCATAGGCCGCCGACAAGCATTCTCCAACCCACTCTGTCCTCGGCCTTCTTTTCTAGTTCCATCCAATTCTTGTTCGTTCGCCTCATGTCTATCTCCATTTCTCGGCGTAATGTGTTCTTTGGTATTCCTCTCCTCCTTCGACCTTGAGGATTCCATGTGAGGGCTTGTCCTGTGATGCAGTTCGGGGCTTTCCTCGATGTGTGTCCTATCCATTTTCAGCGCTTCTTCCTGATTTCTTCCTCCACTGGGATCTGATTTGTTCTCTCCCACAGTAGGTTGTTGCTAATAGTGTCCGGCCAACGGATCCGAAGTATTTTGCGAAGACGACTGTTAATAAACACCTGTATCTTCTGGGTTTAAGTTTAATACAGCTCTTCTCCGGATACTGACAAACTCAACAAATTCAAGATAGCCCTTAGCAACAAGTTCCAGGCCTTTCATGATCTACTCAATGGAAAAGGAACTACTATGGAGAGCAACTGGAAAGAGATAAAAGAGGCAATCACTTCAACATGTCATGAGGTTCTGGGCCAAAAGAAGCACCATCACAAGGATTGGACCACGGTTGGTGCACTGGATAAGGTTCAAGAAAGGAGGAACAAGAAGGCAGCAATCAATACCAGCCGAACAAGAGCAGAAAAAGCCAAGGCACAAGATGAATGCACAGAAGTAAACGAGAAAGTGAAGAGGAGCATCAGAACCGACAAACGTGAATATGTGGTAGATTTAGCAATGACGGCGTAAAAGGCTGCAAGAGAAGGAAACATGAGACAACTGTATGACACAACAAAGAAACTCTCTGGAAATCACCGTAAACCAGAACGACCAGTGAGAAGCGAGGAAGGTAAGGTAATCACCGAAATTGAAGAACAACGAAACAGGCGGGTAGAACACTTGAAAGAACTCTTGAATCGACCAGCCCCACTGAACCCACCCAACATCGAAGCAGCACTCACGGACCTCCCAATCGATGTTGGTCCACCAACAATTGAAGAAATCAGCATGGCCATCAGACAAATCAAGAGTGGAGGAGCAGCAGGAACAGACAACATTCCAGCAGAGGCACTGAAAGCAGACGTAGCGGTAACTGCAAGGATACTCCACATTCTCTTCAGAAAGATTCGGGATGAGGAACAAGTACCAACAGACTGGAAAGAAGAACTTCTGGTCAAAATACCAAAGAAAGGCGATCTCAGAAACTGTGATAGCTACAGGGGAATCACTCTTGTTTCAATACCAGGAAAAGTCTTCAACATGGTATAGTTGAACAGGATGAAGGACTCCGTAGACGCTCAACACCAAGGTCAGAATTTTCAATACAAACGTCAAGACAGTTCTACTGTATGGGGACGAAACCTGGAAAACCATGAAAGCCATCACCCAGAAGATACAGGTGTTTATTAACAGTCGTCTTCGCAAAATACTTCGGATCCGTTGGCCGGACACTATTAGCAACAACCTACTGTGGGAGAGAACAAATCAGATCCCAGTGGAGGAAGAAATCAGGAAGAAGCGCTGAAAATGGATAGGACACACATCGAGGAAAGCCCCGAACTGCATCACAGGACAAGCCCTCACATGGAATCCTCAAGGTCGAAGGAGGAGAGGAATACCAAAGAACACATTACGCCGAGAAATGGAGATAGACATGAGGCGAACGAACAAGAATTGGATGGAACTAGAAAAGAAGGCCGAGGACAGAGTGGGTTGGAGAATGCTTGTCGGCGGCCTATGCTCCATTAGGAGTAACAGGCGTAAGTAAGTAAGTAACAGTGCATTCAAGGAATAAATAGTTATCTAGATCTAATTCTTAATGTTCCTACACTTAACACATTCTGTTTTAACCTATTCACTATCATGTAATATGGTTTCTTCCGACCACTGCCTGCCTAATTTCATATTTTCGAGTTTCACGGCCAAACAACAAGGATGACACTACTCCAAAAACATACGGTGAGTTTCAGCTATAAGTTTTCTGCAATCATAAGTTCATTTTATATGGCTCGTTCAACGGCAACCACACAATTATCTGGATTTATTCAATTGTTCTGATTCGAGCAAGTGACAAAAACGTCAACAACACCATGCAACCTAGAGTTAATTGCCATACTGCATGTTTTATTCTGGATGCTTTTGGATCATTACTACTCCTCGCGAGTTAGTTTTCTACTCACAAAAGTACATTGAGTAATTCTGCACTGTTGGAGATAAAGTTTTCATTAAATTTACAACAACAAATACACTTTCAAATTTGATTCGTCAATAATAATGAACTACTTATATAAGGAAACAAGTAAATGAATAAAATTTTTTTTAAAAATGAAATAAGCAGATTTTAAAGAAATTTATAAATCTCCAAAGAATATTCACGTGAATAATTGTTTAGATTAATTTCTTCATCAGGCTCTATGATGATAAATTTATAAACGGTGCATCTACGATCCTGCCCCACGAGATTCGAACCCAGAACCTATCAGTCTCGTACGCGAGCGCTTAACCTCTAGAGCACTGAACCGGCATTCAAAGGTGTTAATGTCTAACTTCAATCAATCCACGAAGTTCCGCCACCATCCACCATTGATTCATGAATTCAACTATTAAAATATATTAATGAATTAAATAATGTTATATGTTAAAAATGGGTAACTTTTATTTTTGTTAAGGCATAATTACTAGAAAATTGTGTCATTCATAAATTGGAACGGTTATTTATTAAAAGTTATAATGATTCCTTATACTCAATATAATAATAATAATCAAATAAATTATTGCAGGAGAATTTCGTTCCATTTATGAAGATAATAATAATAATAATAATAATAATAATATGATCGTTTGAGTAAGTGAAGTACTTTCAAGGAAGTTATGATAAGAAATTCACATAAATTGATGAAGATAAATCTGTAGATTAAGGATAAGTCATAGAAACAATCAATCTAAGAGAGTTGGATAACGTCTTCTTCATATAGCTGACATGACATAACTTATTAATACTAACATCAACATCTAAAAATTTGAACTCAATTGACATGCATTAACTCAAAAGAAGATTGATAGTTAAAAAAGACAATATGAATCAGGGAGAGCAGTTTCTGTGATTGTGTGTAGAATCTGACGATTGTAAGAGTGAAAGACTGGATTTCGACAGTTTGACTATAGCGTGTTACATGAGAGAACTAGTATCAAGAAATGATCTGAGTGTATGATTGTGTGTCTACAATTCTTTAAATCCTTTAGAACTAAAGTGATACATTTTAAAATTCAGTAATGATTTATTTTGCAAATTTATTTGACGGTACAGCAGACATATGGAAAATAACTCAGTGTTCGCTTTTTTTCTTGTGTTAGTCATGCACATCTAAACACTAGCCAGTATCTAGAACACATCGAGATGAATAGAGTGAGTATTGAAACTTAAATCTCAAACCATCTACACACTTTCTATAGGTTCAACAATTGGTACAGTGTTCATCTATTACTATTATTCTTATTATCATCGTCATTAATGTTATCCAAATCATAAGCAGAATATCCACAGTTGAAGCAAGAGACCAACAGTTCCAATTCTTACTTAACCTGTAGAGAATGGTTTGATTGATAGATGAGTGGTGTCACCGACTCACATCAGTTGAATGTCCGTTAATAGGATAGGACACATTTGTCCCATCGGTTGACACTTTTCACTCCTTGCTACATATATACATGCTAAATGTTTGAAATAAATCAGTTTTGACTAACGAATGAAACCTGTAAAATAATTAATGCTGTATTATCAGTTGGTCAACTATGAGATAAAAAGCATGAAACACTGCAAAACACTTCAATATCCATCTGTCTAAATACATTGTGTAATGTGAGTTCAAAAATCAATTTAAAAGAATAGGGATTATAAACTGGGCATGTAGTTTACTTTATTACACAATGATCATTAACAAAACAATAATCGAATTATTTTGAATAAATATGAACGGAATGTATTCAATCATCATAACAAAATGAGTAAAACTGAAGATTGAGACAGAACGTAGAACAGAACAGTTACTCGGCTTATATCATTTTAGACTAAGTATTAACTACTCAATAATCATTGAAAATATAGAGGAATAACAAATTTCCATTGTGTAGCAGATTTATGTCAAATATCATGTTACATACTCCTAAATGACAATCATGAAAAAGTAGAATCAAAGATTAACAGTGAAAGTATTTGTAACAAAGATGATTTGTCTCAGGATAAACATTGAATAAATCATCATAATTTCGGAGGAGTATTCGGCAACATTTCGAAAGTTTCAACATGAATATTTTGTTAATATAAAAGCGAGCATAATAAATCTCTGAGAAACTACAATTTGAAATGAAAAAATCAAGATCATTGTCACGACTATAAGAAGATTCCCAAACATCACCAGAGTAATCCAAAAGAGAAGGAGAGAGAAAGAGAGCAGTTTTCAACACTTCATGCATATAATTTATGAAAACACATCAAATTCAGAAACGTAAGTAGCGAACTGAATGAGGAATGAAGACCACAGGATGGAAAAACACACCAGATTATAAACTAGAAAACGGCGAACAAAAAGATAGACATTGAACTCATGTACGAGTAAGAGAAGGACTGGATTCCACTGAAATTTCAGAGAAATTCGAAACAAAATTTGATGTCCTTAATGGAGAGACTGGTTGAGCGGATAGTTCAGTGGTGAGTGTGTTATCAGTGTTGATGGCGGTTGTTGTTGTTGATGTTGTTGTTGTGGTTGTAGTTGTGGTGGTGGTGTTCGGCACGACCTGTGCGTTGTCGAGATATTGTTCTGTTGTGAGTTGCGCGACATCGGTAACTGGTTGTGATGTTGGAGATGCAGATGGCGGTTGTGTGGATTGTGCAGTGGTGAGTGTGGTATCAGTGTTGATGGCGGTTGTTGTTGTTGATGTTGTTGTTGTGGTTGTAGTTGTGGTGGTGGTGTTCGGCACGACCTGTGCGTTGTCGAGATATTGTTCTGTTGTGAGTTGCGCGACATCGGTAACTGGTTGTGATGTTGGAGATGCAGATGGCGGTTGTGTGGATTGTGCAGTGGTGAGTGTGGTATCAGTGTTGATGGCGGTTGTTGTTGTTGATGTTGTTGTTGTTGTGGTTGTAGTTGTGGTGGTGGTGTTCGGCACGACCTGTGCGTTGTCGAGATATTGTTCTGTTGTGAGTTGCGCGACATCGGTAACTGGTTGTGATGTTGGAGATGCAGATGGCGGTTGTGTGGATTGTGCAGTGGTGAGTGTGGTATCAGTGTTGATGGCGGTTGTTGTTGTTGATGTTGTTGTTGTTGTGGTTGTAGTTGTGGTGGTGGTGTTCGGCACGACCTGTGCGTTGTCGAGATATTGTTCTGTTGTGAGTTGCGCGACATCGGTAACTGGTTGTGATGTTGGAGATGCAGATGGCGGTTGTGTGGATTGTGCAGTGGTGAGTGTGGTATCAGTGTTGATGGCGGTTGTTGTTGTTGATGTTGTTGTTGTTGTGGTTGTAGTTGTGGTGGTGGTGTTCGGCACGACTTGTGCGTTGTCGAGATATTGTTCTGTTGTGAGTTGCGCGACATCGGTAACTGGTTGTGATGTTGGAGATGCAGATGGCGGTTGTGTGGATTGTGCAGTGGTGAGTGTGGTATCAGTGTTGATGGCGGTTGTTGTTGTTGATGTTGTTGTTGTTGTGGTTGTAGTTGTGGTGGTGGTGTTCGGCACGACCTGTGCGTTGTCGAGATATTGTTCTGTTGTGAGTTGCGCGACATCGGTAACTGGTTGTGATGTTGGAGATGCAGATGGCGGTTGTGTGGATTGTGCAGTGGTGAGTGTGGTATCAGTGTTGATGGCGGTTGTTGTTGTTGATGTTGTTGTTGTTGTGGTTGTAGTTGTGGTGGTGGTGTTCGGCACGACCTGTGCGTTGTCGAGATATTGTTCTGTTGTGAGTTGCGCGACATCGGTAACTGGTTGTGATGTTGGAGATGCAGATGGCGGTTGTGTGGATTGTGCAGTGGTGAGTGTGGTATCAGTGTTGATGGCGGTTGTTGTTGTTGATGTTGTTGTTGTGGTGGTTGTAGTTGTGGTGGTGGTGTTCGGCACGACCTGTGCGTTGTCGAGATATTGTTCTGTTGTGAGTTGCGCGACATCGGTAACTGGTTGTGATGTTGGAGATGCAGATGGCGGTTGTGTGGATTGTGCAGTGGTGAGTGTGGTATCAGTGTTGATGGCGGTTGTTGTTGTTGATGTTGTTGTTGTTGTGGTTGTAGTTGTGGTGGTGGTGTTCGGCACGACCTGTGCGTTGTCGAGATATTGTTCTGTTGTGAGTTGCGCGACATCGGTAACTGGTTGTGATGTTGGAGATGCAGATGGCGGTTGTGTGGATTGTGCAGTGGTGAGTGTGGTATCAGTGTTGATGGCGGTTGTTGTTGTTGATGTTGTTGTTGTTGTGGTTGTAGTTGTGGTGGTGGTGTTCGGCACGACTTGTGCGTTGTCGAGATATTGTTCTGTTGTGAGTTGCGCGACATCGGTAACTGGTTGTGATGTTGGAGATGCAGATGGCGGTTGTGTGGATTGTGCAGTGGTGAGTGTGGTATCAGTGTTGATGGCGGTTGTTGTTGTTGATGTTGTTGTTGTTGTGGTTGTAGTTGTGGTGGTGGTGTTCGGCACGACTTGTGCGTTGTCGAGATATTGTTCTGTTGTGAGTTGCGCGACATCGGTAACTGGTTGTGATGTTGGAGATGCAGATGGCGGTTGTGTGGATTGTGCAGTGGTGAGTGTGGTATCAGTGTTGATGGCGGTTGTTGTTGTTGATGTTGTTGTTGTTGTGGTTGTAGTTGTGGTGGTGGTGTTCGGCACGACCTGTGCGTTGTCGAGATATTGTTCTGTTGTGAGTTGCGCGACATCGGTAACTGGTTGTGATGTTGGAGATGCAGATGGCGGTTGTGTGGATTGTGCAGTGGTGAGTGTGGTATCAGTGTTGATGGCGGTTGTTGTTGTTGATGTTGTTGTTGTGGTGGTTGTAGTTGTGGTGGTGGTGTTCGGCACGACTTGTGCGTTGTCGAGATATTGTTCTGTTGTGAGTTGCGCGACATCGGTAACTGGTTGTGATGTTGGAGATGCAGATGGCGGTTGTGTGGATTGTGCAGTGGTGAGTGTGGTATCAGTGTTGATGGCGGTTGTTGTTGTTGATGTTGTTGTTGTGGTTGTAGTTGTGGTGGTGGTGTTCGGCACGACTTGTGCGTTGTCGAGATATTGTTCTGTTGTGAGTTGCGCGACATCGGTAACTGGTTGTGATGTTGGAGATGCAGATGGCGGTTGTGTGGATTGTGCAGTGGTGAGTGTGGTATCAGTGTTGATGGCGGTTGTTGTTGTTGATGTTGTTGTTGTTGTGGTTGTAGTTGTGGTGGTGGTGTTCGGCACGACCTGTGCGTTGTCGAGATATTGTTCTGTTGTGAGTTGCGCGACATCGGTAACTGGTTGTGATGTTGGAGATGCAGATGGCGGTTGTGTGGATTGTGCAGTGGTGAGTGTGGTATCAGTGTTGATGGCGGTTGTTGTTGTTGATGTTGTTGTTGTTGTGGTTGTAGTTGTGGTGGTGGTGTTCGGCACGACCTGTGCGTTGTCGAGATATTGTTCTGTTGTGAGTTGCGCGACATCGGTAACTGGTTGTGATGTTGGAGATGCAGATGGCGGTTGTGTGGATTGTGCAGTGGTGAGTGTGGTATCAGTGTTGATGGCGGTTGTTGTTGTTGTTGATGTTGTTGTTGTGGTTGTAGTTGTGGTGGTGGTGTTCGGCACGACCTGTGCGTTGTCGAGATATTGTTCTGTTGTGAGTTGCGCGACATCGGTAACTGGTTGTGATGTTGGAGATGCAGATGGCGGTTGTGTGGATTGTGCAGTGGTGAGTGTGGTATCAGTGTTGATGGCGGTTGTTGTTGTTGATGTTGTTGTTGTGGTTGTAGTTGTGGTGGTGGTGTTCGGCACGACTTGTGCGTTGTCGAGATATTGTTCTGTTGTGAGTTGCGCGACATCGGTAACTGGTTGTGATGTTGGAGATGCAGATGGCGGTTGTGTGGATTGTGCAGTGGTGAGTGTGGTATCAGTGTTGATGGCGGTTGTTGTTGTTGATGTTGTTGTTGTTGTGGTTGTAGTTGTGGTGGTGGTGTTCGGCACGACCTGTGCGTTGTCGAGATATTGTTCTGTTGTGAGTTGCGCGACATCGGTAACTGGTTGTGATGTTGGAGATGCAGATGGCGGTTGTGTGGATTGTGCAGTGGTGAGTGTGGTATCAGTGTTGATGGCGGTTGTTGTTGTTGATGTTGTTGTTGTTGTGGTTGTAGTTGTGGTGGTGGTGTTCGGCACGACCTGTGCGTTGTCGAGATATTGTTCTGTTGTGAGTTGCGCGACATCGGTAACTGGTTGTGATGTTGGAGATGCAGATGGCGGTTGTGTGGATTGTGCAGTGGTGAGTGTGGTATCAGTGTTGATGGCGGTTGTTGTTGTTGATGTTGTTGTTGTTGTGGTTGTAGTTGTGGTGGTGGTGTTCGGCACGACTTGTGCGTTGTCGAGATATTGTTCTGTTGTGAGTTGCGCGACATCGGTAACTGGTTGTGATGTTGGAGATGCAGATGGCGGTTGTGTGGATTGTGCAGTGGTGAGTGTGGTATCAGTGTTGATGGCGGTTGTTGTTGTTGATGTTGTTGTTGTGGTTGTAGTTGTGGTGGTGGTGTTCGGCACGACTTGTGCGTTGTCGAGATATTGTTCTGTTGTGAGTTGCGCGACATCGGTAACTGGTTGTGATGTTGGAGATGCAGATGGCGGTTGTGTGGATTGTGCAGTGGTGAGTGTGGTATCAGTGTTGATGGCGGTTGTTGTTGTTGATGTTGTTGTTGTTGTGGTTGTAGTTGTGGTGGTGGTGTTCGGCACGACCTGTGCGTTGTCGAGATATTGTTCTGTTGTGAGTTGCGCGACATCGGTAACTGTTTGTAAAGTTATTGATTCAGATATTTTTTTTGCGGACATTTTTTTTTCGAGCGTTTTTTCTTTATCTATATATATTGGCTTTTTTTCCTTAATCTCTTCTTTTATCGTGTTTTCGTTTGTTTTTGTTGTTTTGTTTTCTTTCCGGCATTTTTCTTCCTCATCTTTCTCAGTTTGTTTTATTTTTTGTCGTTGCTGTAGTTGGTATTCACTGATATTTCTTTCTGTTTTCGATATTGCGTTCTGCCCTTGACTTTGTACAATCGATGTTTTTCTGTCATCTCTTTCCGATATTTGTCTTTGTAACGCCAATCTTTTTTCATTCGTTCCACTGAAATCTATGATAAGTTGTGTTTGTTGTGACTTTCTTTTCTTTTCATCATCAATGTCTGATTTCGTTCCTTGTTCTTGGCCTCCATATTTCACATTTGATTCGCTTACATTTTGATCGTACATGTGATCATTCGATGTAGTCACTGATAAATAGGGCATCGGAATTCCGTTTGGTAGTGATGAATTCAATGGATTTTCCATTAGATTCGTAACATCCATCTCTGATTGATTGTTCTTGGCAATCGGATTAGTTTCATTTGCATCATAAATAATGTGTGAGGTTGTTTGATTCTGTTGTACATTGGTGTGTTCATTCAATTGTCCACTAATGTGATTCAATTGTAGTGTCAAATAGATATAGAATGTCAATATAATCATCTTCATCAATATCATGATTTGTGTATGATTGAATCAGAGTTATTCATAAGATAATCAGTGTGATATGAAGTTGAATTTGCAGCTTCAATACGCTTGTTTTGTAAATCAGTCTTACTTATATACTAATTTTCTTGTTGCCAATATGTTGTATGAACAAAATGACAACAGTTCACGTAGACAATACAGATCACTTCTCACACGTGTGATCGTTTAATAATCCTTTTCATATACAATTTCTCATTTTATACTTTAATTGAATGAAGACATGTAAAGTGCATTGTCTATCATTTGATTAACTAGTGTATTTGAGTGGTAGTCTTTAATAGCACAACCCATATTCACACTAATGTTTCTCATTGTCATCAATCCACAATCGTTTTAATCTTAGTTCTAAAAGAAATTTCGTTTTGATTATGATCAGTGTTTGTGAAAAGAGATTAATTTCTTTAGTTGTTATCCTTTTCAACTTTAAAATCAATTCATTTACGTAACCTTTATTAGTGTTTATTTTGTGCTGATAATTTTTGACTTCATGTTTCATTTAATGTGACCTAATGCAATATCATTCTATTATTATTGCACATTTTCAAATCAGCACGTAGATCAGCACACTGGATATCTATTCACACGTTGGATTTACTCGTTGTAATTGGTATATGTACTAATGTGAATGTCAGTATCTATAGCATTGTAGTTGTTGTAGTATATGCGGTAATAGCAGTAGTTCTAGTGGGAGTAGGAGTAATAGTAATGTAAGCATTATTTGATATTTAGGCGATTGAAACGAAGATTAGAGAGAAGGAAACTGAAAACAAGCAAGATAACAACAAGAATGAAGCAACCATGAAGCTTGTAAGAGACGATTCAAAGATGTGCAGATGAATTGGTTTACGTATGACTTTCACATTTCACTAAACCACTGTGCAATTATGTACTGATCAATATAAATTAGCCTTCCCCATCTGAGTGTTTGTTCGCTACAGTAGTAGTAGTAGTAGTAGTAGTAGTAGTAGTAGTAGTAGTAGTAGTAGTAGTAGTAGTAGTAGTAGTAGTAGCAGTAGTCTCAATAGTATTATGAGTAGTAGTTGTTTTCGTTGTATTTGTAGTAGTAACGAAGTAGATGAATAATGAGTATTAAGTATAAGTGCACATGGAAGGACTGTCATCATTACAGAAGAAGAATCAATATGAGGACATTGATGACTTAATGTGATTTGATCTAACTATTTCAATCTTATTATTGAGAATCACCATCATACTGTGATGTTTGTGCCAATTTTTCATCATTATTTCACGGTGTTTGAAACATTTTCTGATTTTTTTGTGATTACTCAAATATTTTAATGTCATTTTAGTGATATATATACATCATATTTTTTGTAATACTTTTGTTATCTCGTTTGATCGATTATATTTAAACATCACTGAAATGAATACAACTGTTCATTAAATGATATTTCCTTTAAGTACTTACGGTTTATCATACAGTCAAAAGGGTACAGCTTTAATAGACTTCTTTCTTAGTTAGTTTTTTATCTTATTTTGTTTCGATGAAGTTATTTCCCAACAGAACGACCAACATTTCAACCAATAACATATGTTGATCTCAATGTTCAATTTATCGAGGATTTAGAATTATAGAAGTTTATTAAAACAACTATAAAAAACATTGTTACACAGTACTCTTTTTTCTAGTTTAACTTGGCACTCAAAATCACGAAAAAGTAGTATATTTTAAAATATGCAGTAAGGTGTGGACAGAGAATAGGGGATAATAGGGTAATAATATGAATCTCTATGCTCTTTTGCTTTGAAAAAAAATTATGCTACACATGTTCTTTCTACATCAGTGAACTATGCGGTAGGGTTCACTGCTTCCTGATCATATTGTCTCTTCATTTGTACTGTAAGAAAGAAAGATAATCTTTGAATGAAAACGTTACAGCTAAGAAATTCTTCACATTGACTACTATTCTGAACACATACTATCTCAGTTTTGCTTAGATAAAATTGACTATAGCTTGTAAGGTAATTTAAAATGTTACGTGTTGAAATTAATTTTCTGTGAATTTACCAAATAAATAGAAACTATAAATAGGGTATGATATTGTGTAGTTGAAGTTAGAGTAACTATTAGAGGTCAAAAATAACTAAGATAAACGAGAAAAGTATTGGTTGTTACTGCTTTCATGGTAACGCTATAGTGGAATATACCTGAAGTATTAGGATAGAGAACTGAATTAGAAGTATAAATCGGTTACAAATTACCTATGAACGATGGTATAAACAGTTTTGGGGATTAAGATAGCCATATTACGCTCTCAGATAAAAATAATTATGTAATCGAGGTATTGACACATTCACTTTCAACGTAATTTAGTCCAGATGTGCAGTCCTACAAAGTGAGTTTATGTAAATAATTCTGTGCATGGTTGATAACTATGGTATTTAGTTCAGTGAATCAATAAATAGCTTTCAGTTAGTCATTTCACACAAGTCCTAGACAAGTAAGTTTTCTACATCTAGTGATTTGCTTCTGTTAATACCTTTAAGTTTTAGCTTTATAACTCTGACTTTTTGCCGTTAATTAACGAGAAGATTCTTCTCTTTAATTAGTCCGTCAGTGATTCTAGAATATCGTCTGTAATATCCTTACAAAATGTCCCTTGATAATTTATTAAGATCTGAAATCCAACAAAATGAGATCAAGTCCTATTTCATTATAAATAAAAGAATTTTCAAGAACATAAACCTGATTCAGTGATTTATATTAGTTAAAGATGAAAATGGAGTTCTACCCCGATATCTATTTAAGTGTAATTTAGTCTTTTAAGAAAAGTTAACTTATCTATTTGCTAAAGTGTATGATTTCTGAGCTAGTTACTTACAAAATACTCAAGAAGATCATGTTTTAATGACTTCAACCTTTGAACTGAAAATTTTTATAGAATATTTGTTTAATAACAGTGAATGAACTTATGGTTGTTTTATTTAAATCAATAAATCTAAATAAATTACCATTTTTTTTATCGAAGTGTTATAGTGAAATTTCAATTATCAAAATATAAATGAATATATTCTAATTTGTTAATGAGAAATATACACTTTGAAAGTTGAAAAAATCTCCAGTTTATACTGGAAGTTTTCAATTAGTTTCATTAATAATACATTTTAGACTAATGAAATGAATTTTGATTTAGTTTCTGGTGGAGCTAGTCCGTGTCGGGTAGAGACAGGTATCTACCTCAGTACAGTGGAAGATAGTCGTGCAATTTTGTGGATTGGTTAAGGTTAGACATTAACACCATTGGATGTCGGTTCAGTGGTCTAGGGATTAAGCGTTCGCGTGCGAGACCAAAGGCCTTAGGTTTGAATCTCGCGAGGCAGGATCGTGGATGCGCACTGTTGAGGAGTCCTATAATAAAACGAAAACGGATGTTCAGTGCTTCCAGGTTTTCAATGGTGGTCTAACACCAATCGGTTTATGATCTCAATAAAAAAAACTTAATAATCTCCACAACCCCATACTGATAATATTAAATGAATTTATTCTCATAAATTGTTTAGGGAAATATAAAAGTGTCAATCATCTCTAAAGTAATATTCATAAGAAAATAATTTACAAAATCTCATGTTATCATTTCATCGTTATTGATATATATAAGAAAACTTATTTAATAAGTCATCCTTCAATATTGAGCACAGAATGCTAAACAGTCTAGTAATTTTCTTAGTGTTATATCCTCTCTAAGGTTAATGATTTAATTGGAGACCTTTCATTGTTATTTTGTACAATATCTTCCGTGATTAATTTATTCTCACTAATTTTATCTTTTAGATGTATTAGATCTTTCTTTATACTATAGTGAATGTCTGTCAACATCAATTTCATTGTTCATCTTCAAAATTGTTCAACCTAATTCCCATTGCATCAAGAAGTTGATTTTTGGGGGGTTTTTATCCGAAAGAAGTTAGTAGAACTTGATATTCGTAATCTCTATAATACTGGATAAACTCCGCTCGTCCTTCTTAACGGTGACGAATGTGTCTTCCACATAACGAATCCAAATTTTTTGCTCGATCAATGGTGAGACCGAGGTTTCACTGTTTCTATTATAAGTCCTGATATTGATAATCCCATCAGTGTCCCTTTCGTTTGTTCATAGATTTTGTTGTTGAATTGAAAATATGTTGTTAAACATAAATCGATGAGTTCTAGTAAACTTTGACTTTGAAGTTTTGTGTACTTCGCGAGAGTTAAATCGTTGGTGAGAAGTGAGGATAGAGTTTCCTTTGCTAAGGTTGGTTCAATTGAAGTAAATAAGGCTGTTACGTCAAAGGATTTAAATGTTCTTAATCTGATCAAGGAATTATGTAGGGGATTTGATGGAGTGGTATACAGTAATCACTGTCTTGTTACGTCCTTAATCTGTCTACCCACCTTTGGTGCTGAGGCTAACTTGCCTAATCTAGATTAAGACCTTGACGCGATAAGCTGACCAGCTTAACCTTGAGGCTAGTACGGGTGAGTTCGAAGTGGAGTAGAGAGAAGAAAACTATTCTATCACCTGATTGGCTGACATGCACGCAAGCGAGAGAAGACAAGGCAACTGGAACACTACTCGATTTATTCTCAATCCCGATCCGGTTCCCGTTTTCCCGATTTCAGATCAGTGTAAAAACATACATGAATAAATAGATGACTAACCCGACCACAACGTACAATAATTAGGAAAATATAATTATGTCCAAAACCGGGGATTGACGTAGAAAATAGAGTACAAATTATTATGTTTAAATTACAATAGCTTTGGAACAAAAAAGGGTATGGCAGTGAATTATACACCAAACGAAAGCTTATGATCTGTACAATAGATTAAGAACAAAAATAAATATTACTGTTTTACAAGCTTTGAATTAACCGAAATACCGTTCCGAAAAATAGCTTTCGTAGTTTATCAAGACTCCTTCTTTCTCTGCTCACATCATGTTTATTTGATAGAGAAACTTGTTACCCTCTTAAACTATTCTCTCATCATATGACTGATATAGTCAGTATAATCAATATTAATATTTAATAATATTATATACGTCATTTATTGACTTGTA